TTTTACAGTCGTACAGCATTTCTGTTTGAGGTGTGATTACAATTCGTAGTTCGTCTACCATAATGACGACTCGCTCTAGGTTCACTGACTTTACAACGCCTTGCGTGCCGTTGACAATACCAAGCTCGGATATATTGCGAACACAAATCACTGGTACTCCTTTTTTTAAAGTTACATTTTGAGGCGTTTTAAATGGCCATTTTTCGTTGATTTTAAAATTGTTAAATGTTTTTATTTCGCTGTCAAATATAAAATAGGGTGAATTTGTTTTTTTTAAATATTTCTCGTTGTGTGCAATTCGATCCTTGTTAAACATAAACAACCTTGTGTAACTCGGATCTAAATGTTTATCGGCAGGTTCTAGCCTTTTCCTAAAAAAAGCCAAAGTGGATTCGCAAAAGATGCCCTCACGCACGTTGTTCAAATGCGTTTGAAAGGTGAGGTCTTTGTTTTGTCTAAAGTTTTTCACAAGTTCTACATTAACAAATTCGCATTCGTTCCAGAAAGGGTCGTCGAATAACAATGTTTCTTCGCCAACAGGCGTCAGCTGGTAAAAATCTCCGGCAACGAGCAACACGCATCCTCCAAATAGACGATGTGATTTTTTAATGTTTTTTAAAATCATATTTAATGTTTTTAGTATGTGTACTGGTAACATTGATATTTCGTCTATAACCAAAATTTGAACATTTTTTAAACGTTCTTTTACGACGTCAGTCATATTTTTCAAAATGGTTTCTACGGATTCTAGACGATAGCCGAGGCCAGCAAACGAGTGAACAGTGCTTGCATCGGAATACATTTGCGCAGCGATAGCCGTACTTGCCGTTATACATATGTTTTTTTTTGATTTTATAAAACGTTCGTAGATGATATTGATTGTAAATGATTTTCCTGTGCCAGCCTTTCCTGTTAGAAAAACATTTTGGTTGTTTAACAATGCAACATAAGCTTTTTCTTGATCTACGTTCATTTTTTTACCCCCTTTGTTTTTTTTTTTTAAATTGTGTTGTTTTTATACGAACCAATGACGTAAATACTTAAGAAGGCGAGCAAATAAAAAAATGTTTAAGAAAACACAAGCTGTAACAATTTTCGCTTTCATGTTTACTTTTGCAAGTTAAATAAAAATGTTTATATAAGCAAAAGTCACTGTTATGAGAAAAAAAATTGGCAAACATTTTACATTTTTAAAATATGGATGTCGTAAAGATGAAAGTAGAAAAAATAAATGATAGTCATCTGACGACTGTGTGATAATATTTTCGTAGAGAAAAAAACGGCGAGATTAATAAAAATTATGAAAATGAAAGTCAAGTGTTGAGACGATTATTTCGAAATAAAAATAGTCAAAAATAGTCAACTGACGCAAAATAGTCAACTGACATAGGAGTTATGTTACAAAATGAATTAATTTTTTTAAAAAACTACTGAGAGATAATATTGTTTTAAAAAAAGTACGGTGAGATAAAAAAATTGATGTTGACAAAAATTGGCGTTATTGATTTAAAAAAAAACTATAAAAAGGGTCACTTTTGGCAATAAAAAATCATAAAAACATTTGAAGCAAAAAAACTCAGAGGTGTTCAAAAAAAATGGAAAACGAAAAAATACAAGGCTTTGAGCTGACTGGAAAGACAGCGAAATTTATTACAAGCGATTGCTATGCTCCTGGTATTTATCAGTTTTCAGATGTCGACTTTAAGAACATGTCCACTTATTTTTTAGCAACAGTGCGTCTTGTATGTCAGTATGACCAGATGAAAAAGACATGGATATTTTGTGATAACAGCGACTTCAACAAGCGCATATTGGTTAATCCTAGTCAAGTTAAACTGATAAACAATTCACTGGTGGGACAGTTTTTTTTACGCGCACATTATCCTAACGTGACTCGTGTTAATAAAAAAGGAGAAACGGTTTTTGTAGTAAGAGATCAATTTTTCCGCATGGATTTGAAAAAAAAAGTAAATGCTAAAAACATTAGTTTATTTTTGCCCGAATTGCGCAAATACCAAAATGAAGTTTATGGTGAATACTTTGTACTAAAAGGTGTACAATTGAAAACAAGCGATGAGTATTTAAATATAGAGGTAGGAAGTCTTGAGCAGATGCATTTCTATCATTTTGAGTATAAAACAGCCAACTCGACTGAGATGGAGTGTGTCATTATTGACGAAAAACTAAAAAATGCAAATGCAGTAATGAATCAAATCGCGGTTTCGTTAAACGAAGAGCCTCCAACAAAAAAACCAAGAAAACAAAAAATTATATCCGATGACGAAGATAATTAGTGTAAATATTTTTTATTAGAAAAAATATATTTTTAAAAAAGTTTATTTGTTTTTTTTTATTAAATAAAAAAAAAGTTTTTTAATATTATTTGTTTTGTTTGTTTGTTTTGAACAATAAAGCGTTTTTTTAAAAAAGAAGCCTTGAAAAAACAGCAAGTTTTTTTTTTATTTACTAATCTTTTTGTTATAGCCAATATATATTATTGTTTCTCTTAAAAAATTAAGTTTAAATAATTTTTAAGTATTGCAAATATTATTTTTTTTTTATGTTTTTATACATAAAAATATATTTTTTTAGAAAAAAATAAAAAATGTTTTTTGCATTAAAAAGATTTTTAATGTCACATTCGAGCGAGTTATGTGTTCCTTTTGGAAACTGTTCGTATGAACCTTGTTCTTTTTTAGAATATTTTATTTTGATTGGCGAGTCAGGATGCATTTATGACATAGCTGCAGAATATTTTCGTCAAACAAAATATAAGAAGTTAGGTAGTGATTATTCGTACATCGAATATTCGACAAGTTTGTTAATGTTGAAAAACATAACATATTCTGATGAATTTCATGATGAAGCCTACCGAACTATTTTTTATCTTTATGCTATTCCTAACCCTTACACAGAGACAGATTTTAAGGTATTTTTAGAACGTATTCAATATGTTTATGAGTTGAGGAAAAGAAAGGTGAATATTACATTTCGTCCTCGAAAAAACACTCAAAGTGATGATTATTACTATTACGAGATGTCGCTTTACCGTTACATTTCAAATTTATTGGATAGCACTTGTAATCGTGTTCATGGATCGAGATTCAATAGATTTGAAAAATAGATTGTTTAATTGAATTAATTTTGGATCCAGCTTCTATTTACCAAAATAAAGACGGTTGCGCGTATGGTGTTAATGTTTTTGCAAGTTGCTATGGTAATCCACCGTTAGTGATAAGTTTGTTGAGAGGTGGTTATCTTGCTTTTATATGGCAGTGTGTTTTAAAGTACACTTTTTCTTTTTGTTGCGAAACTAACTGTCGGAAAGATGGTATGAGCAAGGATTTGTTTATGCAAAGCAAAGATTTTTTAAAAATTAAAGACGAAATAGAATTATGTGGAATGTGGTGTTTGTTTATACTTTATTTGAAAAAAAGTTCAAAGAATTTTTTAGGCGACGAAAATGTATCGAGTTTTAACGAAGCTTGTGATTGTGCTGCTGAACTTTTGGATAAAAAAACATATGACAATGAATACGGCATCATTAAAATGTGAAAACATATTTAAAATATAATTTTTTTTATTATCTTTGTATCTTTTTTTTAAAAAAAAAGAAAAAAATATTTTTTTAAAAATAATTAATAAATTTATGGTAAATAATTTTTAATAATTTTTTGTTATTTTTTTATAATTATTTTTTATGTAAACAAAATAAAATTTTATATTTATATTACATTTTTTTATTTTAATACAATAAAATAAAACAATTTTTTTTTCATTTTTTTATAAAAAATATTTTTTTTTTTACTTATTTATTAAAGATAAAAAAATGTCTGTAAGAGAAAAAATAATATCATTTTATGTTATTGACGAAGCAGGAATAACAAAAAGATATACTCAACCTTTTACTGGCTTTTCGATAAAAACACATTTGGAGAATAAAAGCAATTCGGAAAATAATAACAAAACGGAAAGCGATTTGGAATTGAAAAAAAGAAAAAAAGATTATTCATTTTTTTAGTTTAAAAAAAAATGTTTCAAGTAAAAAGTCAATCGATTAGTGTGTTTAAGCAAATACTTTTAAAACGTTGTTTGATTGTGTGTCAAGAATGGAGGTATGCAGCTGATGTGCAGGATTTTATAAAAGATTTTATATTGAATTGTCGACACGATACGGATATTCATGATATACGCGATATTCATGAGGACTGGATTTACGTAAAACAATTGATAACTTGCGAACGAAATGCAGAGATGGAAGAACACATGGAAGACTATGTTCAATATATATCACTAGCTTTGTTAAAACAATGTCGTATTTTGAAGTATTTTTTGTACGGTAAAATGAGTTATGAAGATGTTGAACAGTTAGATTGCAGTTTGGAAAAAGTGAGAGCACCGAGTCCGTATTTTACTTTAACTAATTTATTTGCGCCCACTTGGGAATCCTTAAACCATTCGATTTTTACAAAATTACAAAAAGCTTCTACTGCGTTTTCGCATCGAAAAGCATTTTATGTGAGTCCAACAGCGTATTACAAATATGAAAAGTTATGGTTGATATTTCGTTACATTTATCTGCAGCAAATTTATTTAAAAAAAAAGTCCCATTATGAATTATTAACAACTAGTTTCTTGTCGCCTACTGATTTGGAAGAAGAGCGCTTTCATTATAATATGATTGAATTATTTAATAATTTTTTAGTGCGTGCTAATTGTTACCTTGACGACTGTCAAATAGAAGATACAAAACATCATAACAAACATTGTAGATTACGAAGCTGTAAAGATATATCTTTGACTGATATTTTAAATATGCCTAATCTACGTTACATGTATTTGCAATTTAATTGAAAAAAATATTTTTTTATTAAATTTTTTTTTTGTATATATCAAATATAACTTTTTTTAACACAAAAAAAAACATATATAAAATATAACTTTTTTTATTAATTTTTTTAAAAAAACTTTTTTTTCATAGAAAAAAAAAAAACTAAAAAATGTTTATGTCATTGAAAGGGTCGGCGAAAATGCCAATACGAGCTACACAAGGTAGCGCTGGTTTTGACATTTTTGCTATGGAAGACGTGTATTTATTAAAACGAGCAACTGTTAAAGTGCCTACTGGTATTCGAATGCAAATTCCTGTCGGGTATTATGGACAATTGTTATCGAGATCATCATTAGCTGCTCAAAATATAACAGTAGAAGGTGGCGTTATTGATAGCGATTATCGCGGAGAAATTTGTGTTTTGTTAAAGAACAATAACGACCGTGAGTTTGTAATTAAAACAGATTTAGCTATAGCTCAAATAGTATTTTTGCAATGTTTTTTGCCACAACTTTTCATTGTTGTTCCAGAAGAGGAGTTAACAAGCACAGGAAGAGGAATTGGTGGATTCGGTTCAACTGACTGTATGCAAAGAATATAATTGTATAGAAAACAATAAAAATACATTGTAAAAAAAAAAAAGTTTATTACAGAAGAAAAAAACGTGTAAGAATTTTTAAAAAAAATTTTTTTTTATAATGATTATTAAGATTGAAATAAATTGGTTTACTTAGTGAGAAAAATAAGTTTTTATTTTTATATATATATTTGTTCAATAAAAAAAATTTTTTTTATAGTAAAAAAATGAAATTTAAAAAAGAAATCAGCGAAGAAAAATACAATAATGATGTGTATTATAAAAAATTTTATGGACATCGAAACGTTATTCGGATGAAAGCGGCTTAGATGATTTAATTGTTTCTGATCAAATGACGTGGGACGACGTCCGTGTGTTTATCGAAAACAAAACAAGAAATGTTATTTTAAAAGAAATGAGCAGAACTAAGAGACAGATGCCAGAAAGTCGGAATTTTTTAGTTGGTTTTGTGTCAGTGGTCATGTTTTATCGGTCAGAAGCGGACGGATATCGTCTTGTAAAATCAATATTTAGATCTCCAGTGCATTATGTTCGAACAATGGAAATTTCTAAAAAAATTGAAGAACTAGTACATGTTAATGTAGAAGGGAGCCGTCATGTTTCTCATATAGACAGCGGATTTGTTTTATATAATTTATCTCAATTTCAAGCGCAAATCATCGGTGGAATGAGTACTGAACGATTTGTCTTGTTAAGAAATTCCATTATTGGCGCACGCGATCCACTTTTGTATAAAATAAAAAAGTATGATTATCGAAACAAGGCTTTGTGTGACAATCCGTTATCAAAACGTAATTTAAAAATGGTTCAACAATATCTCAAACGAATACAATATGATCCGTTAAGTCGACAAAAACAATACGAAGATGATTCGTTAAGTCGACGATCGCTTGTCTTTGTAAGTCGTTTTCTAAAAAAGAAAAATCAAGCAGAATTGTTTCGTTTTTGTCCGTCGTACATTAATAAATTTGAATTGAGAAACACATGTATCGACTATTCGTATATGGTAGAAAAAGGTAATTGTTTCTATATGAGTTTTTTAGTATCGTTGGTGCAAATTAAGAAGCAATGGTTTTCCCCTAACAATTGGCAGGAAAGTTTAGATGAAGAACGACTTATAGAATATGCAACAAACGATTGCCTAGACATAAAAGAACAACTGAAATGGTTAAAAATAAGAAGTTTTAATATAAGTTATGAAGGTTTATCTATTCTTTTAGATGAAATAAGTGAACGGTCGGTTTTAAACAAATTTAACTTGGTCATTTTCAAGTGGTTACCTAAACCGGTGAGGGTTCATTTAAAATTTGAGAAAAGAAATCGTTTTCAACGTGTAGCCTATAAACGCTTTACAAAACTTTATGAAAGTAAAAAAATCTTTCGCGATGATCATAATCCACATCGTGTGTTTGCAAACGAAATAGAGCGAGTAGAAAGTAACGAAAATTTAAAACGACAAAATACTATTCAATTAATGTTGCTAGATAACAAAAAAGGCACGCATTGCGTTTCCTTACTAACTAAACGCTTTCAATATCGATTTGAAAATGCCTTGCAGGGTAATGTATGTGATTTTTGTCAAAATTGTTATGATAATCATAGAGCGCATCGAACATGTGCAGGATTTTATAAAGACAACAAACTTGTTTATCCGCTAAAAAAGCGTTTTTACGAACCTCAACAAGTTCTTTTCCATCAATCTCGCAACTGTTTTCCTTTGTATATCACGTTTGATTGTGAAACTGAAACACGCGACGGACAATTATTTTATTATTGTCACAGTGTGACTCTTTTTTGTACGAATGAAAAGTTGAGCGCTGAAATTTTTGGTTACGATACTCAAGGCAACGTTTTGAGAGAATCAAGCATGTTTTTTTTAAATACAAAAGAGAGTATGGAATTTTTGTTTCAAAAGTTGCCTTGGTCTTTTCGACAACACGTGAATCCGTTATTAGAGGTAGTTCGTTTAAAACGTTGGCAAAGAGTTAAAGATGTGTCGGACTTGGAGAGTTTACGTGTTTTTGATCTTTTCGCTATATGTTATGTCGTTATTTCTTTAATGCAAGAAAAGTTAAAAGCAAATCAATTGCTTCGTATTTCGCGGAACGAAAGACAACAACTGTTTGATGAAGAGCTTCCGAAATGTACCATATGTAAATTGAGTGTGGACAAACGCGTTTATGGCAACACCATTTTGTCAAGCAATCATAACGTGTACCAATGCGAAGATGCTTATCATGCTCCTGTCGTTTACATTTTGTTTGGTAATATTAGCAAAATGAATCATTTCACTCTTAGTCGTTTTAGTTCAAACTATTTGCAAGTAACAAGCAAGGAGAATATCGAAAAGCATTTGCTATATCTTTTTCGCATTTTTGTATGTTTTTATTTGTTTGAAAGTCGCGTTTTGTGTCGTGTTCAAAATGGAAGTTTGTGTGAATATTTGATGGTCAGCAATGATACACTATTAGCAATAGTCAATACAGTTCGAAGAAAATTTGAATTAGAGGAAGAAACGTTTGAAGACATGTTATCCGATTCGTATTTTTTTTATAATGAAATTTTGTTTCTAGTAGGCAAAATCAATTGTCTCTATCTCTATACAGACTATTTAGTCGTTTTAAAGTATTTTGATTTTACGAGTAGCGTTAGTAAATTGGGACAAGTATGGGACCATTGTCTGAAGAAACTCCAAGCGAATATGTCAACAATAATAAAGCAACCCTGGAAACATATTTGCAATCTCTCGTGTATCGCTATATCGATCATGCAGTTATCGATCACGACCATTGGACTGGTTCCGTATTGGGGTTGGCGCATTCGTATTGCAATGTACAATATGGCAGAGTTGAAAAGCCACGCGTAGACATTTTTTCGCACAATGCTCCTTTCGATCACAGCGTAATGATTAATAAGCACTTTGAAGAATTTTGCAGCTTTCCGTGGTCACATAAAGACGATCCTGATCTAGGCGATTTTGATAACATCGTCAAACGACTGTCGTTAGAACATTCTTTTTTTATTACTGACAACATGAGCAAAATTAAATCGTTATCGTTTGGGGATTTTTGTGTGTTTAAAGACAGTTATCGTATTACAAACACGTCGCTAGCAGATGCTACTCGTAATTTAGACACAAAAACTAAAGAACAAGTACGTTTGTCGGTTATACATTATTTGATTAAAACAAAAATCGTTTCGCATCAACGAGGAGCTGACTTGATTAGCAATGTCGAAGGAACTCAGTTTTTTACAGGAAAAAGTTGCTTTCCTTACTCTAAAATTAGTTATGAAAGTTTGGAAGAGCCGCTCGTCGACGTTGACGGTAACCCGTGTTGCCCGCCTATCGAAGATTTTTTACACAACAAATTGAGTCGAAGTAAAAACGAAGAAGATGAACGAGTCGCGCTAAAGGAACCTTATGAAAACGTGTTAGCCATGTGGAAAATGTTAGATTTGAAAAAATACTCTACTTTGTTGGAAATTTATAATGTCATTGACACGATCGCTTTGGCATTTGTTTTATTTGATTTTGACAATAAAATTTACAACGAACTTCATTTTCATGCCATCTCGCAACTTTCTTCTTTTTCCTTTTCAAGTAAAATGAATTCGTATATTGGCAATATCGCTATTCAACATCCTCCTTCTAAAGAACATCATCGTATGATTGAAGAATGCATGAAAGGAGGCATGTCTACAAACGGCACACAGAGCGTCGCCTTAGACACTTCGTATTTTGAAAATATTTTAAATGAATAACCTAATGTGTCGAATAAAATTTTGATAATGGATGAAAATGGTCAGTATGCTGGCGCCCAAGAACTGCTTCTACCGTTTGCTATGCGTAGTTTTATCGAATATCATTATCAAACGTTGCAAGAAGTAGTTGATGTTTATGGTGGCGAAAGTGATGGTTCGTTTGTTAAAAGTGCACTTGTAAGATGCGTTATCAAAATTGACGATCGTTATCACTGGCTCACTGGCGGTATTTCGCCTTGTATTAAACGCGACAGCATTTCGATATGCGATCTGTCGCCGAGCGAAATTTTAGACAAACGAAAGTCAGAATTTTTCCACGTCCACTCCTCTCAAAAATAAAGATTATGTAGATCCTAAAGACGTAAGAAACCCTATAAAGGTCGACGAGGAAACATATTCGCCGGATACACGAAAGCAAATTGACGATTTAAAGGCAGAAATTGCTAAAAAATCAGCAGCTTTCAGTTTATCAAAAAATGGATCAGATTGATGATCTTGTGAGTTCGGCGTTGACGACCATTCAAAGTTCGCTTTTTGGATTGAACACGATTGCCAAAATCAAAAAAAACTTGTTAGCCTTGCAAAACGGCAGCAAAAGTGCCCAAGATCAAAAACTGTTCGATAACATTAGAAAATTTCGAGAAGAAAACGAACCCTATAACAAATTAATAAAAAGATGGAGCGAAATGTCGTTATTGTTTAAAGTGACCAACGTGTTGAGCAAGTTAGAAGAGCCACGAACACCGTACAGTTATCGCACGCATAAAAAAAGTTATAATTTGCCAGGACAATATTTTCATTGCGATTTGGCCGACATGAGTGTTTTTAATACGGATAAAAAAGTATATCGTCGCAACTATTGCGTTGTTCTCGTTGACGGTGTCAGCGGGTTTGTTCGTTTCAAAGCCAGCATCGGTAAGTCAGCAAGAGAAATACTTGTTGCTCTAAAAAGCTTGTTCGAACACATGAACAGACAAGAAGAAGTCTTTTTGCAGACCGACAGAGGTGGCGAATTTTATAACAAACAGTTTGAAGCGTGGTGTAATGAAAATAAAATTACGCATTTCTCATCGAAAAATCTGCAAAAGGCTTATCTTGCTGAAAACGCTATTCGGCGCCTCAAAGATATATATCAAAAATTAAGAATCGCTAAAAAATTGACAGACAAGACAGATTGGACTAGTTTTTTGCCGCTAGTAGAAGAAAAGTTAAACAAATCAAAACGCACAGTGTCTGGCATC